AGTTGAGGTATACCTATGATGAAAATTACAGGCCTCTCTCATCTTTTTAAGTGGGAGAACTTGCACAATTGGTGGCTGACTAAATACTTTTTTGCCCCACTGCACATAGCTTTGCAATAAGACTTGTAGACATTTCTGGGAGTACTAGTTGACTCCAAAATAAATATGAGTTAGCAGTATGTGGCTGCAAAAGAAACAAATGCAGTTTTAGGCTTTATCAACAGAAGTGTACTTTCCATACTTGGTGAAGTAATAGTTCCATTTTATTCTGTATTGATAACACCATTTTGACTCTGGAACCAATTATTTGGTTGGTGATGGTGGGTACCCCATCACGGGGTGTGTTCAAATGGAGATTAGAGAACCATCTAGAGCAAATACTTTAAATTCCTCCACTGAACAGAAGTGGACTGTACAGTTTAAATGGCCCTTTCTGACTCTGATTTAGTGTTTCAGTGGATTGTGTACTGTGCAAATCGACATGAAATAGAGTAAGAACTCAACGTGAAACTGAGATAATACCTCTACAAGTTTCAGTCAGTGAGAAGAGACCAGAATAAGCAGTTTTATGAAGAGGCATACAGAATTTTGGTACTGGCTAACATCTATCATGATGTAGATGTTAACATTAGAATTGATTGTCTCAGCTATTAAACTCTAAATCAGAATGAATAGATTCTAACCTCATATTTTTCAGCTCTTCATAAAAATGTTCAGGTGTTGAAAGAATAACACTGAATATCTGGCCAATCATTGCTAAAATATGTTCTTCAGCAGAATCTGGTGCATGGGAACAGTGGAAACAGTCTAAAAGCACCATAGATAGAATAGTTTCTTTATGGATTTTCTTGGAAAAGAAATTGAAAGTTAATTATCAGCTGTAAAAAATGTACACCTTTGGTTTGCAGAACCAGCAAGAGGAAGTTAACCTAGGTATGAGGAGGTGTCCATTTTCGCAAAAGTCTGTTAAATTGTAAATGATTTGTCATAGTAGCTGCAAATGATATAAAATAATATAAAATTAACTTACAATTGTCTGCCTTATCTGGGTCATTTTGAATGTCACAGACTTGTCATTTGGGAGGATTATATTTCATGAGCTAAATTACTAAAACTGCTGTCATATGTCTAACACACTTTTGGGAGAAATGGGGCATGGTTTTGTTTTTTGGGAGTTTTTTGCGTTATAATTTTTGAGTCAGGAAATGCATTGTCTTTATATATAATCTCTGTACAGAAACCCTGCGCATATTAGGGTTTTTTCTATGGAGACTCCTAGGCCAGCAAAAGAGATCTGAAGAACTGCTAATTATATTTTCTCAAGAGGCTACATTATTGTAACATGACCCTTTATTAAAGGGTTGGCAGAATGGTTTAGTACAAACATTTATAAATCTGGTATTTCTGCATGCGTATCCCAGTTGCAAATGTTGTTCTGCTATTAGGAAGAATGAAGGGAATTTTATTATTTACTAAATGTATATTTTTATGTATACATGGAAGTAGTTTTCTCATAAAGTATATTCCTGGCATACTTTCCTATCAACGATTCATAGTATCTGAGCTACTTGTGTTGATACGTGTGTGATTAGCTTAATCCAGTTTTAAGTCTAAAACTTTCATCTGCAGTTGAGAAGGAACAAGTTTATTCCTCTAGCAGAGTTTGAGCAAGCAAAGTAATTATTACTAGAACCTTTTCTTATTTTTTACTTTATTTTTTAATTTTAGAAGATTAGAAAATATAAACAGTGTACCAAATATACAACATAACTAGATTAAACTAACCAGAAATAAGAATGAAGAAAGTAAAATAAAACAAGAAAGAAAAAAAGGACTCCCCCAAAGCCCTAAAAACCTTAACAAAATTTAACAAATTACAATGATAAAGGGAGTTAGGGTTGAAACTAAACATCTAATGTATATATTAAACTTACAGATAATGACTGATTTACAAAAAATAACATATACAATATTGCAAGCAGATACAAAACATAAAAAAGAAAAATTTAATAATGCCACTGCATTATTGTAAAATATCATAACATCTATGCTAAAGAAAAACATATTGCTTCATCGTTTGATTAGTGGAAAATGTTGCCTTTCCCAGGACATTTTCTGCAGTTAGGAGAGATCTTAGTTTAACTAAAGAAAGCATATCATTCTAAAAATAAAGACTTACTCAGCTAGATGCTAGATTAGGGGAAAAAACCTACTTTATTCCTGTTTATCTCTCCTTCCTCTACTGTGAAAAGTGTCTTGTTTGACCTTTCTGATTATATTTATGGGGGGAAAAGTACTTTTTAATAAGATGTTGGGCTGTTGCAACACGCTCTACACGGGGCTGCCCTTGAAGATCACTTGGAAGCTACAATTGGTCCAGAATACGGCGGCACATGCAGTGTAAGCTACCTCTCAGTTTGCCCATGTTACACTGCTGTTGCACAAGCTGCACTGGTTCCCAATTTCTTTCCAGGTGCAATTTAAGGTGCTGCTTGTCACCTTTAAAGCCCTACATGGCATGGGGTCAGGTTATTTGCAGGACTGCTTTTCCCTGAGAGTATCTGCTGGCCCCACCAGGTTTGATATGGTAGGCATGCTCCAGGTCTCTTCCCTTAAATGTTGCCATCTAATAAGACATAGGAAGCATGTCTTTTCTGTAGCAGCCCCTGCCCTTTGGATCACCCTTCCACTGGGGATCTGTCAGTCCCCACCCCTTTAGCATTCTGGAAGGCTCTAAAGAGCTTGCTGTTCCCTCAGGCACTAGGGTAAGGGGATGGGAGGCTGTGGATGATTTTGTTGGAGGCATCCAAGGAGGATGACTGAGGTACTTTTTCTTTTTGGTTTTTTGGTTGGTATTGTTTCTTGATTTTATTGTTCTTTTCACCTGCCCAAAATTGTGTTCTAAGAGGGGTGGCCATACAGATATTTTAAATAAATAAATAAATAAATAAATAAATGTCAGCTATATTTGCAATTCAGCCTGCACTGAGATAAGAAGGTAATTTTTTTAAATAATAGTGTGTCTGATGTCATTATATAAGTATCTAAAAAAACAAAATTTATCTGGCAGGGTGCATTTGGAGCTCTTCAGAAGATTTGTGAAGATTCAGCCGAAATCTTAGATAGTGATGCTTTAGATCGTCCCCTCAATATCATGATCCCTAAGTTTCTACAGTTCTTCAAGCACAGCAGTCCAAAAATAAGGTAAGAGATGAACGTCCCTACTCAGTTATTTGAAACATTTATGTCCACAAGATTTGTAGGGAAGCATTTTAAATATAGTTAACATGAGTGTACTGTTGAAATTCATTCATTCATTCATTCATTCATTCATTCATTCATTCATTCATTCATTCATTCATTTGTTCGTTTTCTGCGACCATCCACTTGTATACAACTCTGGGTGGC